CCCTGGCCCGCAAAGCCCATGAGGTTGCCACAGCTCACGATGAATGAGCCCACACCACATCCGGCGGCCGCCCACACAGCAGCCACAAAGCTCTCTTTTAGTCTGTACTCACCCGTTCGGTGGTCCCCTACCTTAAAGCGGATGGCGGTTCTTGGAATCGTGGTGAGCGGCTCATGCCCAAGGAAGGAATGAAGGAAGCAACTATCAGGCAGGGATCTGCAGGGAAGGCTGCACACATCAGCAGGACACACTCCAGAAATACGTGACAGCAAAAGACAAGAGCCAGGTCCAGTGTAATAATATGTCAACCTGCCTTCTCTGATAGATTTCAACTGCGGATACACAGCTCAGTGGTATGTGCAGGTAATGTGGTATGTGCAGGTAATGGGTTTGAGTCCGGTATTACATCATACAGCCAAACAATAAAGTCACTGAGGTAATGCGTGCAACGCAAGTAATGGTTTGGAGACCTGTATTACATCATACAGGAGTACAATACAGTCACTGCGGCTATGATGATGCGTTAAATGCAGGTAAGGATTTGAAACATGTATTACATCACACAGCCAAACAATAAATTCACTGAGGAAATGCGTGCAACACAAGTAATGGTTTGGAGATATGTATTACATCGTGTTGGAGTACAGTCACAGTGGCAATGATGATGCGTAGAACGCAGGTAAGGATATGAGACCTGTATTACATCATACAGGAGTACAATAAAGTCACTGTGGTAATGATGATGCGTAGAACGCAGGTAAGGATATGAGACCTGTATGCCATCATACAGGAGCACACTATAGTCACTCACAGAATAAAAGTCTTGAAAACATAATGAAATAGTAGTACTTGCGGTCAGTAGAGTCGTCCCAGACTAGTTGTAAGAGTACTTGTGCACAGACTCAGCTGCAGGGAAGTCCGTTCAGAGTTGTATCTGGAGGCAAAGCATAGGGCAAGAAGGAAGCAGCTGCAAGTTGATTAAAGAGGAGTGGATGCTGCTGCAGTGTTGGTTGATCCAGAGAGCTCAGAGGAAGCTGTAACAAGGTTAAGTTGTAAGGATATTCTATGCAGCACTGAAAGAGAGTGGTGAGGCAAATTGCTTGTAGAAGTGTAAGCCAAGATGAAGATGACAAAAGAGGCAGCAAAAGCAAAGCAGTTAGAAACAGATCCCCACCTGGGCTACTGCACAATAGCCCTGTTGCTCACCACCTTACTTGTAATCCTAATTAGGATATATGCGAGACACCACGCGCCCCCAAGAACTGCCAGAAGGGGCTCCCAGTCCCAAAGGCGCATTGAGCAGTCCAGGAACTGGGACTACACCTGGGAGAGGCTGAACCAAGGCGGCACTGCGGCACTTTATGACCCATAGGTAGGGATGACATGACTGGTTGCAGGTAGAGACGCGAGGACAAAAAAGAGAATGCAGGGGGAGTATCTCTCTTTTTTATAGATTGTTACTGGTCCTGTGGGTGGGGATAGGGGGCGGAGCTTATCATTTGTATGCTGCCATGAAAGGCACCAGGAAAATATACCTATTACAACTTGGCCAATTCAGACCAAGCATGTGATAGAAAACTGCTTAACCCTCTCTAGATCAGAGATTCTTGAAGCTTAGGCACCCAAATCAAGTTTAGCAACAATGGTATGCGCCAGTTAACTTATAAATCTATGACTCATTTTTCTGGTTGCTGGCAAGACCGAAAATTAGGAACACACACAGTTGCACATTCCTATTGCTTTGCTGCAAGGTTGATTAGTGTTCTCAGAGCAAGGCTCTTTTTACATTTGGACTTATAAAGTTGTAATGCTGTCATAAGGGATTAACTGCCTTTCATTTGATTACCAATAATATTTTCTATTAATGTTTTAGTTGTAGCAGTGAGGGGAAATCCCTACCTTTCCTTTTGTATTCCAGGCCTCAGCCCTCTGCATATTCATGCTATTAAACTGGTGGCCGCTATGTCAAGCATTTCCTGGGCCACTGGTCATGGCACTATGATGTGACGTATGATGAAAAATTACACCTCCACCCAGTGACCAACTGAAGCTGTTTCTTCTTATTTAAAGCGATGACATCACAAATGTTTAAAGTGACGTTTCAGCTAAACGGAGAGCTTGGTGAACAAAATAGTAGCAGCCTTTTATGTGCTGACTTAACACCACTGATTAAGCATTTCTGATTGTATCCCAGAGTTCATCTATGAGAAAAGTTTATCTTCACTGACAACAATGTGTCAGAATAATCAGCAGGTGCAGAAAAAAGGCAGCTGAATCTATATACAAATCTGTAGAAGTCAAATTCAGCTCCACCCTCTTAATCTTTTTGAGCGATCCTTTTGGACAGTAAGGTCTCCCATTACACTAAAAAGTCAACAGGGATATTTTGGGGACCAACCTTGTACTCAGCTTTCTATATCTCCAGATCTACTGATGTGGTATTCACTGAGGACACCCTTCACACTAAAGTGATTCAATGTGGCGCATTTTTACAAACATTGCTATGCATTGCATTAAGGCCGCCTATTCATTAAGAATAAACTGCCAATGCATCGCCTCAGACAACAACATTTCATGTCCCTTTTTCCAAAATACAGCACAACACACACTATACACATTGCTGTACGCTGTGTCATGTGTTGCACTCTACTGTACAGTGTGTTGGGGTGCCATTCACAATGCAAGAGCATTGGCATGTGCTGTGGCAACATGCATTTTAGAATGCCCTCCTGCAATAGACGTATGAAAAAGGGTCCACAAGGTTTTCTCTGCCTATGCAGATTGTTTCATCATATGCTCAATCTGAATTGCACAGATTTAAAAGAAGAGATAAAAGTGCATGTACTCCACTATATCATAGCCCCTTCAACAGTGTATTTCACTTGTAAGCACTTCAGAAAGTAGCAAATACATACATCACAAGAAAGTTGTAAACCACCCTTTAAATGAATGCTATACACTGCAGACAATAATAATAATAAGGCAATCCTAAATAGACCGTTTGCTCCTTTACAGAGCCCTATAACGTTGGTAAAAAAAAAGGTGAAGAGCTAAAAAACAGGAATTTTCAAGTTGTTTGATTCTATAAATAGGTTTTCTAGTTCCCAAGTCTAGGTTATTTAAAATCCATGGTAAGGATCCTAGACACATTCTTTAAGTTTCCTTCTGTACTAGAAGATTGAGGTTTTCCTAAGTGGCAATACTTTAGTTTCGGTTAGATATGTTTGGCAGATGGGTGGTACATTTGAAGGGGCAAGGGGCCCATGAACGATGAACTATATGGCCTTTGAAGAGTGCAAGTAACAACAATGAGGAGTGACCTATAGCCTTCCAACAGTAAAAAAAAAAAAGAAAAAAAGTTTTCTGTACTTTTGTATAGTTAACCAGCATGCTTTCTAAAGTGAGCAACTGAATTTCATACACTAACCTTTACAAGGAATGTAACAAAAAAAAAATACTTGAGTGATAACCCTCAGAGGTTATCACTCAAATATTTTCCCCAGGGCAAGCACCTAATTAGTTGCTATAGAACACATACTTTAAATTTCTGCTAAAAGAGGTTTTACAAATCCCTATTCAGAGAAGTAAACCAGTGACCAGTTTTAGGTACCATTTAGACAAAATGAATTAGATGCTGCTGTATACTTAACCTTTGTTTAAAGCAAGTTAAAACTGAACTCCAGGCAAATAGGTAAATACACTATTGAAATACATATATAGGAGCTCTCTTACTTGCAAAATAATTTAAATGTTGGTGCTTCCACTCCTAAGATTTACCAACTACTACCACATAGTACAGTCAGGTTATGACCTGACTTTTCTCTAAAGAAGTTAAGCAACATAACATTGCTTTCCTCAGCCTGAGACTGATGAGGTCATATCTCTGCTGTCTACTCCTGTCAAGTTAATTTTCCACAAATGTGAATGCATGACATATTATTGGCCCCAAGCACTGCCCCTTTTTTTTAGCAGTCTAATGTACAGGGATAATAAAAGAGTTATAGCACATTAAATACAGGTATTTACAATCATTCAAAATCCATTCAATATTTGTAAATAATTGTATAACTGCATTTTCCATCTGTCTTTTTTATATAGCTGTTTGGAGTACAGCTTTAAAGGTTATTTCCAAATGAGAACGCTACCTTTTAATATATAGCAAATGAGTATGGGGGAATAAGTGCAACAGAAAGCTGGAAGTCTAGAACTGTGCTTAATGAAGCCTGAAATATAATCCCTTCCTCCTGCTCACAGCTACACCCCTCTATGCAGTGCCCATTATTAAGAATCTACTGCTGTCACCCCTCCTCTTCTCACCTATAAAATATTTTATTAAAGGTTCTTACAGTACAACAGTTCATCAGTTCATGGTTAGAGGCAAATATAGAAAGAGAGAAGAATAACTTAACTGATCTATTTCTATAAATTGCATGTCGTGATTAAGAACTGGGCTGCAGACCGTTCCAAGGAAAAGGGAAAGTTGAGGAAACTTGCTTATCTCCCTCAGTGGCAGGGATTATATCTCTGAACAGCTCCAGCATCCCCATACAGTAGTATTAAAGCATACATTTAACATTGCTGTTTTAATGGAGTATTACTAGTTCATTATTAAATGGGTGCATGCTCTGAGTTCAGTTTTTTCCAGATTTCCTGATTAGTCAAGCTAATGCAAGCCACAATTTTATTTTCTCCAGCAATCCCTGAGATTCCTTTTATTTATAAGAAATGTTCTGGTTCGCTTGATTGCTTGTCTGACACAGAGAGCTAAGTGGAATAACAAAGGGCAGATCAGTCTTCATTTATAGCTCCATACAGCATAGCATGGGAAGAAATACAAATGAAACATCTTGATCTGTTTTCTCATGACAAGTTGGAGCCATTATTTTAGATAAACATCTGGAGATTTAATCTGATCCCAGCCATTATAACCGTTTCTAGCCAAGCCAAACCCTTTTCATGTAGGACAAAAAAAACCACCCTAAAACATCTGGCATACTTACACACTTCTCACTATCGAACACATAACACAAGTGCTTATTTGACTCCGAATCCTTGCATATGAATGTAAAAATCCTTTTGTCTGTTTTATCATCGGCACAAAACGATATCCTGTGTAACTGGCAATTGTGCAGGACTTCCTATAAATAGAAAAACATTGGCTGACTTAAACTTGATTGTAATTTTTGTTGACAGGTTGTATTTATTACAGCAACAGTTAAAATGTCCAAAAGTGACTTCACAAACAAATAAAAACGAGTTTGTGGTTGAGTTTTCAGCCCCGTAGCTGCTTGCAATTACATTTTATAGTGTTTATTAAGCAAAATAGTGAACATATAGATGTTAAACTGCACTCAGAATAGCAAAGTGCATATGTCAGATCAGTGAGAACATGGGCTCCATCTAAAAGCTGCAAAGAACAAGGAATGTTCTTGGCCGATTAGTTAATAGTCTGTCAAACATAGTTCTTTCAGGTTTCAGAGATATAGGCAATAAGTTATATGAACCATGTCATGTTTCCACCATGCCAGTTTTAATTTAGATTCAAATTGAGAATACAATTTAATTTACTTTATATAACGTCCTTTTTTATCCATTTGCTCTCAGGATTCTTATAGATTCTGGCTAGTCCCCCAGCACCTCTTTAGGTAAATTATCCACAAGATATATGTCTAAAATACTCAATGAAAAAACTATTAAGTGTTGGCTTAATCTGTAAAGTGAAGATGGTGTATTTTCAGTGAATGAACAATTTAAATTAGACTTATAAAGTTTAACTCAAGTTTAGGTAATTTTGTTGTAACTTTTGCTTTTTGCACTGCTTTGCTCTTTAATATACCATAAGGTTATTTCAGATACTGATTTGTAGATTCTTACTCTAGTGGCCATTTATGTCTCAGATAATTAGGACCCTTAATTATGGACTGTGGAGATAAAACCCATTTTCAAAAAAACCACCTACAAACAATGTTTTCCCTCTTTGGTAACCAAAAGACTTTATGTAAGTTTATTTTAAGGAACAAAACAGTACAATCGCTGTGCTGCAGTACTAAGGAATCTTAAGTATGTACATATAAAGAGCAAATATGGCTACCATCACATACATATATTCAAATAACCAATATAAACATGATTGAAATATTAAAGTGTCCCTGTCTGGTTAAAAAATTATTCAGATGAAAGGTCTCTGCTGTAGAGCTTACTAGGGATGTCCAGATACCAAGTACCGTACTCGGTACAAGTACAAGTACATGTACAGATACTTTTCCAGCTCCAAGGCTAGACTAGAGAAAAAATCAAGAGTTAGGAGGCAGATGTTATTTTTAAGGAGCATATGGGACTCCTGGGATTTGTGCATCCCTGTTTTAGTACGAGTACTAATACTTGTCCACGCACTCACAGATACAAGTAGCGATACATTTTTGTTTATTGTCATTTGACAGTTTTTCTAAAACAATACAGTCTAATTATATCAGGACAGTGGTGGGTTGCCAGAGCCAGGTCCCAGCTGCAACCGCTGCAACCCTGGTAGTTCTTGTGAAAATACCAAGTATTGGCACTGGTATCTGAACATCCCTAGAACTTACCTATCACTTTAGTGGTCTGTGTCCCCTACCTTCCCTCCATTCCAGCTCTGCAGCTTCCAGAATCAGCAGTGACATAGGCATTGGGGGATCAAACCAATGGCGTGAGTTAGAGGATACATGCATCAAACACTCTCTATAGTGTTAAATGCTGTGTGTTATGGGGGCTGCCATTAGTCTTATGGAGGCTGTAGCAATGGTATGGAAGGAAGGTAGGAGACATAGGTCACCAAAGAGGTGGGTATGAAAGCCATTCTATTGCAGAACCTTTCACCTGGATTATGTTTTTAACTGGCCTTAACATATGCTAATAAAAATGTTTTGCTTATAACATAAACATGTTGACCCTCTTTTCTCAGACCTTGCTGAACTACATCGTTGTACTGGATCAGTGGCTCTGAAAGTATTGAAGTCAGTGAATCAGCGTACCAGCCAGGCAACCTACATTTTAAGAAGCAGCCTCTGTATTTCTCTCAAGGCAGGATTACTTTAAAAGACAGTTACTACTATTGGCATCACACATTACTTAGACGATAAGAAATCACATTAACAAGATGGGTGCTGTTAAACTATAATTTTATATATAATATCTAGGTGTGGCAACCAATATGCAAACAAAAGATGAGAGATTATATTAATTAAACTGACGCTGGCACTGTGTGCCAAAACAAACCCTGTTTAGGTACCAATTATAAAGTAACCAGAGCTTGTATTACAGGTAACCACAGTGAAGACACTCTGGGGTTGATTTACTAAAGGCAAATGTTCACATTTCAAGGGAATTTACACTATGCAGGGGAAGTTTTCCCTTATCTTAGTGATTGTGGTGATATTTAACTTTGCAAAGAATACCCAATCATGTGCAAGGAACATAAAAATTAGTAATTTAGCTTGCGTGTGATTGGATGATGGAAGTCAGCAGAACTTCACCTCATTCACTAAGCTAAGGCAAACTTCCCCGGCAAAGTGCCAATTCCCTTGCACAGTGAACAGCCTATTTGCATTTAGTAAATCAAACCCCCTGTATCTGTGTCTCTGGTTATAGTTATCCTGTATGGGAGAAGTAGTTATAGTAGTCATTCTAAACTGGATTTCAGTAGGAGCATAACATGCAACCTTTTTTTTTATTCTGGCTTGTGTAAAAATGTCAAAAATAGATTTAGAAAAAAAAACTGAGTTCCTACAGACATTCAACCTTGAGTGCATTCTAAAAACGCTTTTCAGATGGTGATATTCAAGGGAAATATGTGCTTTGAATGGGGTTATAAATAATTATAAGATGATTTGTGGGCTTTGCTTGAGGAATTGACTATACTGTAGTAGAGCAAATGGACAGGGAGCCTCATACAGGCTATTTATCTTTTTGCTTGGAGTTCTACTTTATTTATGTCGGACAGGTTTCCATTGAGATCAATAAAGCTTAGGCGGTTCATTCATTAGATATGATGTGCAGGAGTGAGACGATTAAATATGTCTTATGCTATGCCAGACAGGCTGCACAGTTAGGATTGCTAGGCATCTGTATTTTAGGTAATTTGATCTATTACAAAAAACTCTAATGGTAAAAAGGTGTTCTAAAGCAGCATATATCCTTTAGGATCAGCTAGCCAAAATCCTCCAGAAGAAGTTAGATCATCAGACCTCAGAATATCGACCCTGCTTCAATAGATTCCTGCAAGTTTTATGTATTTTAATCAGATTACATTTTATCCAACAATGTTAAAGCAAATATCACTTCTACAAAAATATGTGTAATACAGGAAAGTGGAACATAACCTTAATTTAATCTGGAAAGCCTAATTTTTTTTAAAGGGTGTTTTGTCATATAACAAAATATGCATGTGAGAGAACAATGTGCAGCCTTAAACCCTTCACATTAGTATATTTTAAGATGATTTTATTACATTTATAAAACAATGGTGCCATCCAATGGTTGATGTTTCAAACTACAGTTTCCTTGAGATTAATGTTCAAAATTCATGCCACTAAAACAAAAGCCAAGCCAGAGCAGAAATGATTTGTACTATGCTCTTTTCTCCAATCATTTGCACTCAAAATAAATGGGAAAAGAAAGTTCTAAATGTATACAAAAGCAGACAATACCATTAACATGGCAGCTACAGCTAGGAGTAAATGTAGAGGGTGAAAGGGCATAGTGCAGCAGGATCAGGCTGCAGAGTGAAAAGTACCAGGAAGAAATGAACCAACCCTGGGGCATCAATTTAGCTACCTGATCCCTCAGCCAAGTCTAGTCTTCTAGCTTCACTAATGTGGTAACTTGATTCTATGATCCATAGAATCCTGCACATGCAGGTTTTGTCTCCTAAATACCATAATTCTGGAGAGACCTTGGTCTTAAGATGGGCCACAAACAAAATAGAGGGTGGCAGAAAACTGGTTGACATTTTTGTCAGAAAAGGGGAACTAGGGCACATGTGGTCTCAATTAAGACAAGTGTCATGTTTCAGCCAAGTAGGAGTTGGACTATTTTATCGCTTATCGTCATACAAATTTTTAAAATAACTGGACAGGTTTTTAATAATACAACCAGTGAAACGTTATTTCATAAAATGTGTGCCATTTAAAAAAAATATAGTGTCAGAAAGGCCAAATATTTGATTTGTGTGTATGTACCACAGAGTTTTTGAATCCTGTGTGTTCTCTCTGGACACTTCAGACAATACGGTAGCCTATCAATTAGCATGGTTGGAGGTGAGAAATCTCACGTAGCCTGAGTCAGATGTGTGTATTTTAATCATCAAAAAAGTCTGAAAAAAAGGTAATCATTTTTAACCCCCATCCCATGCAGTTAATAATCCAAAAGGTTCAAAAATTATTTCTTAGACATGCTAGTTTTATGGTAAAATATGGGGATGTAATATTTGAGTCCTTTTAGAGTGCTTCTGGTTGTAGTAGGCAAAGAATATTAGTGTTTTGACAGAAAGGTTTCTCAAAAGCCTGTAATTGTGGGTGGTATCCACTTACAGTAGATATTGGTATGTGTGTTGTTTATTGGGGCTTCTTGTGACAATTGGCAAGTGTGCTGGACAGAGATACCTTGTGCATTGAGCCTCCTACATCCCTGTACCCCTAGATTTAAGAAAAAGAGGTTAGGTCCTTCTCCTCACGTAAACACTATTTTCAGTTTAGGTTTTTCATAAAGTAGGCATTTATGTCGATGAAGCTAATTTTAGGGAACAACAAGTGGGGTGACCTTTTCTACTTTTGCAAGTATTCTTGTTTCTTTCTTGAATTAAACAAATTTACAACTGCAGGAAGAACACTACCTGAAACTCTTAGAAACACACCACATGTGATTCAACATCCAATATCATCCTAATAACAGTCAAAAGACTAGGATGACAGGAAACTACCAGCAGTTTTCCATACATGACACTAGTTGGAGGGCCTGATTTGTCTTTGCAACTTACAGATAATGACCTAAACATAGACACACAAGGGACACATGAAACAGCAAAATAACTGGTGAGAGAAAAGGGACTGGCCGATACTTTTACCAGCAAACCAGCCTTAAAAACCCTTTTAATATAATAGTA